CGGTGATCGAATCGATCCAAATGTGAATGTAGGAAATGTAATTTTAAGGACATGTTGCAGCCCAGATTTTCACAGTTTTTTAATAATTTATTCACAATAGTTTACCTAGGAAATATTCTCTCGTCTTAATAAACGAAAGCCATACCGCTTTTTCCAAATTATTTAGTAATTTAGTAAAATTATCGTCTTTCATTAATTGTTTGATTTGAGGGCCGATAGATATCCCCTCCTTTATTTTTGCTGTAGAGGGAAAGGACAATGTTAAAAATAGGTCAATTTTGGCATTGACGACCAAAGAATAATTCTTTCACATATCGATTCTATACCTTCCAAGGAACAAAAAATGCATTGGCCATTTTTCCGAGAAGTGACGGGAAAGTTGCGAAAAATGAGGCCAAAGTGCAAGAATATGACTGAGACCAGGGTGCGAATTTTTCGGTTTGATTCTATTCGGAGCATGATCTACTGGCAGAATAATCACTTAAAAAATCATAACAAGGATTATTTATATCAATTATAATAAATTAGTATTCTGTATAAACATCAAAGTGGTGATAAATAATGCTTTATTCGTATTATAAACATCGAAAACAAGAAATTCTTCTAGTAATAGAACGTAAATAAGGATAAGTAATAAGTGTTAAACTAAGTTGAATGTACAATAATTAATCTACTCTTGTGGTCATTACGTACATGTTTCGTCTTCATACGTCTGTGTCACTTTCTTCGGATGACGATGCATTTATGAAATAATCATTCAGAAAGCTCGCAGACAAACGGATTGAAGATTTGTGTCGAGCGAAACCGAAATACCATAAAATCATCGCTACATCTGAGCAGCAGCCTACAACTCGTTCACCGATTTTGCATCCGCATGTATGTCCAATAATTGCATCAAGCCCGGTTTTGGTTTTGTCCAGTAATACGTAAACGAAATATTTTACACTGTTTGAATGTCGCGAGCGCAACTGAGTTTTTAATAAAAGGCTGTTACGAATATAAGTCACCATACTCATTAATATGATCCGCATAATAGTGAGGAGCTTGTTTTAACTGATACGTTCCACACGTGTATACACGGAGATCGCGATCACTTAATTCGGGGAAAAAATCTAATGTTGTAGCTTCGATACGTATAAATTGTGATCTGCGTGCATTTAAGTTTTCTCGACGTACTAATTCAGATAGGCGATTAGGCTCATTTGATTGCTGCAGCATTTTATCAATCATGAGCTGGTCTAATTGAGTTGTAACTATTGGTTTGAAGGTAGCATTTAACAAAGCACACGCAATTCTGAAATCATCAAATAACGTGGGCAGTGTAATATTGTGAATTGTACTGTCAAAGAACTTAAATCGTTTTTTTTATCCGACCATTAATAACTTCAACAATGTATCTACTTTTTGTGACTAATCGCGATTGATTTGCTTCCTGTGTCGTCAATGTTTTTCTATTTTTCAGTTGGGAATGATGGCATTTTGGCTATGAAACCTTTTTGCGAAATGCAATCTAATGAATCCCGAAAGCCGCGATCCACAAGGAAAACGTCCTCTGATATCAACTGATTCCATTCGTTAGTCTGTAACAGCTCATTTAATATAGATGCATCATTTTTATTTCCTGGATAAGGTCCCCATACGCCTGCAATGTAGTCATCTGTGTAGACAGCCATCATAGGCTTTATTAAGTTACGATGTTTGTGTCCTGAATATGAGGATCGCTGAAATTGAAAGTTGTTGCTTCTTTTCTATAAAAAGATAAGTTCCGTCGAATACAAGGATTACGCGGCCACCTGTGGGTGCATGAAGGCGTTTTGCATTTTCAGTAGTATGATTTAATAATAGTGTGCGAGTATGAAGTGGCAAAATGTATTCTTTGCACAAGTTACTGAGAAGACACTGCCTGACTAGTTTACAATAATGACTTGCTGTTTGCCTTGTAATGCCCCAACGAATTGCCAATTGTTCGTAAGAATAATTACGTCGTAGTCTTGCCAAGTAAATTCCTAACGCTAGTTCAGTGTTATGAATATGTAGCAGATCCCGTAGGTTTTTTTGAATATCATTAAATGTTACACGATTTAAGCCAGTTTCGAATAATAATTGGTCTTCTGTCATTTCCGAAAACGGTATTACATAAGATCTCTGATGTCTCTCTGTCAGAATCATGGACTTGAAGGTATTGAATACTGCCACCACTTCTTCGGCGCTTAATGATATGCCCTTACTATATCCTGTAAATTCTTTTGGGATTTCAAAGGCATCACTCATCCCATGTACGTAACATGCACGTGCTCCATAGTGAACAAATGTATTTGTTGTAATGTATATATTTAGGCATTCTTCTTTGCTTAGTCTCCTTAAACTGCGCTGCGTTTCACACGCAAATACACATTTCGATGATATAATAGATCGATTAATATCTAGAATGACCTCTCCTCTAGAGTTATTTTCCAAAGTACCATGAGTATCATTTCTAACTACATTTACGCCTGCTCTAGAAAGAGCGGCTACATTTATAGGGGCAGTAGCTTCTTCTACATGCTTCATTCTTTGATAGCATGATTTACAGTACCACACATCGCAACATTTGTGGTAATTACTGCGTGGCACTTTATTAAGGACTTTTCTGCACTCTACACAAATCTTTGACATTTCTTAACCGTTTGAGTCCCAGCGGGTATTGAAAAAACACTGTCGAAGAATCCCGAACAGCGCAATCGCGCTTTCTCTAAATGAGTACGAGAAGACCCAAGCAGCGCGATAGCGCTTCTTTTATTTTATGCCAACAAAGCCCAAGCGGCGCGATAGCGCTTCGTTTATTTTATGTTTTGCACTATTATTATAGTATTGTACCTATTGTGAAATGTATTATTTACTTTAAAAGAAGGAGCTGTGTGATGTATTTGCGTGAGTAAATCTAAGCGCGCGACTTCGACAGTCAGTGACGCACCGTCAGTTATCCACAACGCTCGAAATGTACTGGGTTTTCTCGACATAAAATCTGAACAGCGCGATCGCGCTGCTTGGGACTCAAACGGTTAAATCTACTACAAACAATAAAAAAAATGAATATACTCAATAAGAGATCAATAAGAATTGAATATAATTAATAAACAATATATGCTATACGACGTGCGGTGCACGCTATGCCGTTTATAATATGCCTTCTACGCTGTGCCGTTCACGCTGTACGGTGCACGACCTGCCGTCTGCGCTCTGCCATCCACGCTGTGCAGTAAAAGCATTATTTATCACCATTTTGATGTTTATACAGAATACTAATTCATTATAATTGATATAAATAATCCTTGTTATGATTTTTTAAGTGATTATTCTGCCAGTAGATCATGCTCCGAAGAGAATCAAACCGAAAAATTCGCGCCCTGGTCTCAGTCATATTCTTGCACTTTGGCCTCATTTTTCGCAATTTTCCCGTCACTTCTCGGAAAAATGGCCAATGCATTTTTTGTTCCTTGGAAGCTATAGAATCGATATGTGAAAGAATTATTCTTTGGTCGTCAATGCTAAAATTGACCTATTTTTAACATTGTCCTTTTATTTTTAAATAGGCGAAGCCGGGCCCCGATTTATCCATTGCTTTAACGAAGTTTTTCATTATTCCTAATTTTATGTGCAGTGGCGGTAAATATACTTTTTTAGGGTCAATTAAGTTATAATGTTGTACATTTTTTTCGCCTGGTATTAACTGCTCTCGTGGTGACCAATCTTTTTTCGTATAGTGTTGTTTCCTATCCCTACTGTCCCACTCACAAAGGAAACAGCAATGCTTCGTATAACCCAGCTGAAGGCCCAGTAATATTGCAATTCTTTCAGGTCCCCACATACATTCCAATTGTATTTGTTGTATTAGATTCTATTCAAAACTATTTTTAGGCTTTCGTATGATTCTTTCATATTTGCTGAATATGCAATTGGGATAGATGGATGTATGTTTCCAATATGGGGTAAAACTGCTTTTAAACTGTATTTTGAATAGCCTCCATTCCTTTGGATCATGTTTAAAACCCAGATTTTTTATTAATTCATTCACATCAGTGCAAACACAAAGCTTTTCATGCATCTGAAAGAATTGTTCAAAATTATGTTGTCGTGCTCTAAAATACGTTACTTTGGTTGCTTTGTTCAACAAATTCCATTCCTGTAGACGAGATGCTAAAAGCTCTGCTTGATTTTTTGATAAATCCAAGTCTCGCACGAGATCGGATTAGTTAAGGTCGGATTGAGTTAAAAGATGCGGTTCTTTCGATGATACTGCACACTCCATTTCATAATTTTCTGTTTCTTCAATTGTTGTTTCGACTTGATCTTCTGGAGTATTCTGGCGTGTATGAGGATTAAGTGGTGGTGGTGCCGATACAGATACTACTGGGCGGGTGGCGGAAGATACATCTGGGTATACAAAGGGCCTGGCGGGATATGCATATGAAAAATGCCCCCAAACGGATTAGTTTGATTTTTGACTAGATATTACTTCTAGATATGTATATAACTTTCCTTAATTTTGAACCCGAAATATGCATTAATTTTTAAGTTATTTAACGATAAAGAATTTTACAAAATATTTTTTAATTGAAAAACTATCTGTTCAAAAATTCTGAAAAAAATATATGTTGTACATACATCTGCCGCCCATCTAAAAAAAAATTGTTTTCTTTAATTTGTTTATTGCAAATGTTATAAAAAAGGTAATATTTATTTTAATCATTTTTTTAAGTGCTTTATCGTTTTGGTACCACAAACATATTTTGTACATATATGTATTAGACATTTCTGTGTAAGATATATTTTTTTCAAGTCGATTGTTGTAGTAGAAGGTATTCAAATATACTAAAAATGGGTGTAGCACGCGGAGCGCAAGGAGGCTGCCATAGTCGCGCGGCGCGGCGTAACTCAAACTCGATCGCTACACTAGCAATTAATGAAGATATTAAGCAGAATAATAATTGTACGAATGGTAGTAAGAAGCAGTAGCACACGTAGTAAAATTAATTGTTGCAAGCAATAATTTTATTATTTATTAGTACAAAATACTTAATCGTCAATATCACTATTTTCATTTATTATTGGATGTATTTCATTTTTAGTAAATAAATTCGTCAAAATTTCAGCTGGTTTGAGAATTTTTGATAAATATCTGCCATGAGCTAAATAATAAATTAATGCAGCTACATGCGAACAGCAACCAACTGTTCTTTTGCCACTTGCACATTCGCAAGCATATCGTGTCACTCCTGAATGTCCTATAGTATTTGGCAAATATTCTATATAACAGCGATATGTTTTTTTGTTTATATGTCGAGATTTTACAGATAATTTTAAAATATTACTTCTTTCTTTGACATATTTTGCAGTAATTGAACCATCCGCGTTCAATATTTCTGCCAAATACGAGATAGCTTGGGAGAATTGGTATGAGCCTGTGAATAAAATATGTAAATCATTTTCCGTCATTTCCGGAAAATCGAAAATATCTGAAGTAGATATATCGCTAAATATTAATTTTTTTCTGCTCCATCCGTGCTTTTCTATTTCTTCCGACAATGAGTTTTCTTGATTCTTTTTTTCTTTCATTTGGGCAATAATATCCAATCGTCCCGCATCGGAGTTTAAACGTTTGCCATAACGATTTTGTAAAAATGATGCAATTTTACAATAAATCCCAATTTTAGGTAACATTTTATTGTCTAATTTTCTGTCCAGAAGGCGATATTTTTGTTTAAGTATTCCATGGATGGCTTCAACCACCCATCGTAGTTTTGTTACAAATCGTGAATCATTTGATTCAATAGTTGACAACTGAGGTCGTTTCCCTTTTAAAGCTGGCATTAGTACACCATAACCTTGTTCAGTTAACATATTTTTAACGTCTCTGAAACCACGGTCGAGTATAAAAATATCCCCCTTTTTCATTAAATTACATAATCCATTTGATTCGGTCATTATTTCTTTCATTATTGACGCATCATTTTGAGTAGCGTAATATGGGCCTAGAATGTCTACAATATAACCATCTGTTGTACATATGGTAAATGGTTTACACAGAGGCACTTTTTTTTGTCCAGAAAATGACTTTCGTTGATACTCGTTATTAGAACTTTTTTGGTGTCGTATGTAAGTGCCATCACAAATTAATAGTAATTTGTTATCAATGTCGTACAACGATTTAGCTACATTACTAGTGTGATTATTAATTAGATATTCCCTAGTCGCAGATTTTAAACCAAACTTTAAGGGAAGAACATCTTTATCAAACGCATTCATGACTGCATTTGAATAATCTGAAACTAATTGTTTATGTTCTAACTGAAAAATAGAAGCAATTGTTTCATTTGCGTTACCACTTCGTAATTTAAATAAAAAAATAATAATAGCCTGTGTAACATTTCGAGATGCTGAATTCTTCATTGATATTAACATTGTCTTCAATTCTATAATATTCTCCCACGTTAAGCCAGTAAATATGAATAATTGTTCTTCTGGCATATTAAAATCACCAATTTTGTCAAACAATGTTGAATCACAAGTAATTGCTAAACTATTTAATAATTGTTGTAATTCTACAGGCTCAATGGAACTAAAATGTGAATAAATGGATATATGTTTCAATTCGTCATTATACAATTTATTTTTAATTAAATGTTTTCGACAACATCGATTCCCTTTAGGAACATAGATTTTTATCTTAATATATATTTGTAATCTTGCTTCAAACGGAATAACATGAATATTTTTTGTATCATTACAAATAAAACAATATTTGTGTGTTGCAACAGTTCTTTTTATGGGGACTTCAATCTTTATAACGTCATCTTTAGCTGATTCCATAAGTGAAATATTAAAATCTGGATCATCAAATGAAGATGAGACTGAGCTTTCCACAATCACATCATTTTCATTATTATTATCACAAGCACTGTCGGTTTTCTTATTTTTATATGCTTTTATTCGGCAATTGTTGCATAAAACATCATGTAACACAATTTGAGATTTTAGATATTGCGTCAAGAATTCCGCCATTTTTTGGGATGTCACGATCGTTTTGCGCGGCGATACTTTGATGACATATTTATTGCAGGAAGCACATTTCTCAGCGTTTGACATATTTCTAACAAGATATAACAAGATTATATATAACTAATAAAAATAAACGTACAGCTCAATAGCATCTACTACGTATCAAATAGCTTTCACTTTTGTTTGGGCAAACAAATGCAAGAATGGAAGGCTGTTGTCTATTGTTTAATGTACGATATCCGCAGCCAGTGTTGGCGTAATGCGCATACGATCATAGCGCAACTTGAGATTCATAACATTGCATATTATTATTCTGCTTAATATCATAATTAATTGCTATGTAGCGATCGAGTCTGAGTTACGCCGCGCCGCGCGACTATGCAGCCTCCTTGCGCTCCGCGTGCTACACCCATTTTTAGTATATTTGAATACATTCTACTACAACAATCGACTTGAAAAAAATATATGTTACACAGAAATGTCTAATACATATATGTACAAAATATGTTTGTGGTACCAAAACGATAAAGCACTTAAAAAAATGATTAAAATAAATATTACCTTTTTTATAACATTTGCAATAAACAAATTAAAGAAAACAATTTTTTTTTAGATGGGCGGCAGATGTATGTACAACATATATTTTTTTCAGAATTTTTGGACAGGTAGTTTTTCAATTAAAAAATATTTTGTAAAATTCTTTATCGTTAAATAACTTAAAAATTAATGCATATTTCGGGTTCAAAATTAAGGAAAGTTATATACATATCTAGAAGTAATATCTAGCTAAAAATCAAACTAATCTGTTTGGGGGCATTTTTCATATGCATATCCCGCCAGGCCCTTTCTTCTTTCCTTTCTTATTAAATCCACTAATTTTGCATAAACAAAAGTAACAGTCGATAACATGATCGCTTGACTCTCTCCATACCATTGGAATTGTGAATGGCAGATTTCTGTTATTTCCTCTTGTCCAAGCTAAAAGTGCGGAGGCATAACGTTGACAACAAATATGCGGTGCCCAATATTTATCTTGGTCACCAAGTTTACATCCAAAGTATTGTTCATACGCATATTCTATTTTAGATGTTATTTTGCGGCGACTCGATTTTACTACCACTTCCCCACAAACGTAGCAAAAAGAGTTTGGATCATTCTGGCACTTTCGTGACATTGTACTATGTTACACTAAAAAATACTATGTTAAATTAATCGTAACACAACACTATTTTATAACTACACTGAACTAAATACTATATTATGCTACATTATATACACTAAAAATACTATACTACGATATATGCATATATAGTCAAAAAATGTTAAAAAGCATCCAAGTGCACTATAAATGACAAATATGTTCACCGAACACGATTTATCCAGTGGAAATGAAATCCTTCTGAACTCGTCAGCACGACTATTCCGAACGATTTCAAAGACAAAACTGATCTCTCTAAACCAAAACGAAACACTGGGGCCTAAAGCACTTGAAGATTTTTCTCTGAATGTATCAAGTGTTAGGGAGAAGCGCCAAGAGATGTGTTGTGTTTTCTGGATGAGGTAGCCACAAAATACGCACTTTTATAATATGAATATAAAGGTATATTTAAACTCAAAACACAATTAATCATTCAATTTACAACCGATAAGACATAACCTAATACAGTTGCTATGATGCTAACCGCCATATACCATACTGCTGGTCTCTACTCCCCCCTCACAGTTAACAGTTCGGGTTTGCACATGTCGTGCAATCACTGTCTGTTTTATTAACTCTTTCTTCTGTAGTGTCTGAATAACCAAGTCGTGGTTTGTGTAGTGAAATTAATAGTTTATTATAGGTATATATGTGAATTACAAAGAATAGGCTCGCATCGTGGCGATTACTCAACTCTCTCGCCCGTGGACATAGGAATATAGGGACGGAGCAATAGTTGCGACTGTTGGCGAGGGGAGTGAAGCAGCTTTGCGGGGGGAAATCACGGTCACGTGGTACTCTCTGGTGCCGCATTGGTGATTGGTGCTAGCCTAAATGCGCGAAATTTAAAAATGAAAGCTTTAGTTTCTTTATAATTATAAATGTACGATAGAATATTTTTAGTAAACCAGAGACACAAAATGTTTTATTTATAAATCAACATACTGAAATGTTAATGGTGATTGAGATGTCAGAATTAAATGGTTAAAAGTTTGAATCTATAGATATGAAAAATCTTTATTACTTTCGTTTGATATTTAAATTTGCAACTACGCAATGAATTCAGTACGGTTTGCATTATTATTTGATGAGATCTGTCAATAAATAAAACATGACTATTTAGGAATAGATAGATATAACTACAAGGTTATCTTTCACTTTTTTCGACTTAAGAATATGATTTAACGAATTTTGCAACATATAACTTGCCATCGTAGAGTTAAATATTGGTCATAGTCTTATAATGCAATATTAAAATTTTTATTATAAAATGTTAATCTAATTCCCTAAATATTGGTAATTTATCCTTTAATAAATTATACAACTGTTAACCAGTTAACTGTGTCGATCATTTTGCAAAGTGCGCCCCAGTGTGTGTCGCGATAATCAAGCGATGACGGATATAGTCGTCAAACACAGAGTAAGTGGCGCTGTTGAAATATTGGGTCAAAAAGACGACTTTATTTTAGAAAATGAATGAATTTATTAGTAATATTTACACAATGGATCAACGTAAAGCTATATTTACACATAATTAACGAAAAACTTAAAAAAGATCAAATATTTGTAGAAATTAAAAATTTATAATGTTGCTTTCGTGTGATATGTTCTGAAACAGGGAACGATGCACAGTGGCACTTTGCATGTCGGACACCAATACCGAGAGTCTTTTCTAATTTTGTTTTTATAACAAATAGAACATCTTCAGGATGGATTTTTTGTTGTTGAAGTGTCTGGTATGTAATCCGGGAAATGTTTGTCGATCAAACGTGAAACATTGGATGCCATTGGGCGAGGTTCTAATGATTTTTGTGATTCGATGGGATACGATGCAACTGTATCCTCAATATATTCTAATAAAAAGTTTACTCTGTTTAATTTTCCACCATTTTTTTTATAAATTAAATATGAATTTAAACATATAACATCTAAAAGGTGGAGAAATATTTTTTTATAATTTAGGAAAGGTATTCGGGTGTTTAAAGAATAGGTGGCCCAGAGAGGAGAATGATCTTTATTTGTTCGTGGCTTCGTCGAGACTGTTCTCTCGACCCAAAAGTCGTTCGGTTTCAGCCTCTCGCATCGTCACGCCTTAATCTAAACAGTGCGTGCGCCTTCCTCTAAACATTTAGGCGTAGCTGATACGGACCGTGGGACGGCCAGCGGCGCGGTGCACGCTTAAGCCGTGTCCCCACTGGGTCGGCAAAGAAATGGCTTTGCCGCGGTGCATAGCAGTGGCACGGCCGTGCCGCCTTGTGCCGCCTTTTGCCGCCTTTTGCCGAACGCTGTGCCGATCGGCAAATGCCGAGCCGTGCCGACCCAGTGGGGACGCAGCTTTACAATTCGGCCATCCTGACCGTTAATCGTCTCGATTAACCCGTATACACAAACATACCGTTGTGCACTAACATTGCTATCACACACTTTGCAAACTATAAATTTTCTTCCTAATCTCTAAGGACTCTATACACTAACTGTTGGATTTCCTAACCGTCTTGTTATGTTACAAAAATCATCTCCAGTAACGGATGTATATACTGGAGTTTCCGGTAGTTTTGGCCATGGGTTCTTAAGCTGCGTCCCCACTGGGTCGGCACGGCTCGGCATTTGCCGATCGGCACTGCCGATCGGCACAGCGTTCGGCAAAAGGCGGCACAAGGCGGCACGGCCGTGCCACTGCTATGCACCGCGGAAAAGCCATTTCAGTACACAAAAAATGTACAGTGACGACGAAATAATAACTGGTGCTGCTGCAGTTATAGTAATAGCAAATGCAAAAAAAATGCCTAAAAAACGAAGATTTTGGATGCGTCCGAGTTTACGTAGCAGAAGAATATATAGTGCCAGTGATATGATGAAAGATTTAATTTTGGACGACGTAAACGCAATCAATCTGGAATACAGGTGTAACGGTGGCTTTAAAAATTTTTTCCGCATGTCCTCTACTGAATTTGAACAATTGCTAAATTTAATCGGGTCAAAAATTGCTGCGAAGGACACAAATTTTAGGGAAGCAATCCCTGCAAAAGTGCGTCTTGGTGTGACATTACGATTTTTGGCAACAGGGGATTCATATCACTCCCTTATGTACTTATTTAAAATTTCAAAACAAACAATTTCAAAAATCATTCCAAAAGTATGTGAAGCTCTCATTGATGTACTTCAAGATTATATAAAAGTAAGTATTGCTGGATCACGTTAGTTATAATATTAAATAATTAATCCTATTTTTTATATTAGATTTATTACTATTATTTACAATACAATACATAATTTATTTTACTAGATTCTATCCTATATTTATGAAGTGTCAAAATTATGTTCTATATTTTGTGCAGGTGTATGAGTGGAGGTGTATGCGGGTGTATGAATGGAGGTGTATGTGGGTGTATGAGTGGAGGGGTATGTGGGTGTATGAATGGAGGTGTATGTGGGTGTATGAGTGGAGGTGTATGTGGGTGTATGAATGGAGGTGTATGGGGGTGTATGAGTGGAGGGGTATGTGGGTGTATGAATGGAGGGGTATGTGGGTGTATGAGTGGAGGTGTATGTGGGTGTATGAGTGGAGGTGTATGTGGGTGTATGAATGGAGGTGTATGGGGGTGTATGAGTGGAGGTGTATGGGGGTGTATGAGTGGAGGTGTACAATGTAGGAGTAAGTGATGGAGACGGCACTTGTATGTTTATTGTGGATTGAGGGCTATTTGATGATTGTGTTGTAAAAGGAAATGAACTACTAGAAATAGGGGATGTGTAATTATGTGTGTATGGGTTAGGGTTAGGGTTATTGAAGGATGGAAAATTATTATATTTTCCCATTTCCGCTTCAAATAATGTGGTATTAATTAAATGCTGCACTATTGCCCTGGATTGTGGAGTCTGCAGTTTCCTAATTTTTATGGCAACTTGTTCGCCATAAAGGTCGTATTCGTCTTTTGTCTTCTTGTTAGAATACATATGTTTTAATATTTTATACGCTTCTTTGGCATCACCATCATTTTTCCTCTTCCTCGATGGTATATTTTTCGGCGACACAAATTTTTCACTCTCTGCATTAATGAAATCCGAAGAGTCTTCCTCAACTTCAATTTCATTATCATCGGAGTCTTCCTCCGAACATTCCAATGCGCTGTTAACCTGCAAATAAGTTAATGTTTGGCAATTAATTTTTTTAGATGCCTCAGAATGAGCAAGAGTGGAATCTTGTAGCAAAAGATTTCAACACCAAATGGAATTTCCCTAATTGTGTAGGAGCAATGGACGGAAAACATATATCCATACAGGCACCACTAAATAGCGGCACAGAATTTTTTAACTACAAAGGATTCTTTAGTATAGTGCTTTTCGCAGTGGTTGACGCCAATTACAATTTTATTTATTGTGATGTGGGATGTCAGGGACGAATTTCTGACGGCGGAGTATTAAAAAATACATCATTTAATTCATTACTGACCGATTTAAAAATGAAACTGCCTGCCGACTGTGTTCTCCCAGGAAGAACACGAAAAACACCGTTTGTATTCGTAGGAGATGATGCTTTTCCGCTGAACCAAAGTATAATGAAACCATATCCAGGAGTTCAAGCAAAATATTCAAAAACCCGGATTTTTAATTATCGTTTGAGTAGGGCACGGAGAATTTCGGAAAACGTTTTCGGCATACTGTCATCCGTATTCAGAGTTTTTCGAAAGCCGATGATGTTGCAACCAAATACAGCAACTAAAGTTACATTAGCATCAGTTTATTTACATAATTTTCTTAGAAAAAGTGGATCAAAAAATATTTATAATCCTCCAGGAACATTTGACAGCGAATGTTCCGAGACTGGAAATGTCATTGCCGCTGCTTGGAGGGCAGAATTACAAGGATCAACATTGACAAATTTCACACAAATAGGACGCAAAAGTTCAGCGGAAGCGCAGGAAGTGAGAGAGGAGTTTAAAGAATACTTCTCATCGGCAGAAGGAGCTGTACCGTGGCAGTATGAAAAGTCATAATTTCTCGATATTTGTGCCATAACAATAAAATGATAATGGAATGTCAATATAAAGAATGTATTTTTATTACGTACCTTATTCTCCGTATCAACTGTCATTCTTGCTTTATTCTTGTCTTTTAAAAATGACAAGCTTTTATAGGCATACCATTTACTTTTAAAAATGTCATCTGCGCCAGTGCCTGACTTCATGCTCTCTTTCTCTTTCTTCACTTCCCTCGCAAAATGACTAAGTAAATTTTTCATTTTTTTTTCTATTTTTTCTTTTGTCATGCCAAAAGACACTGCAATTTCTACTATCGCATCATGCCGCTTGTTTCTATCCTTGTAACTGTTGTTTTGACAGTCCCATAAGTTAGGGCGTTCACGGTACATTTCTATCAGTTGCAGGACATTTTCATTTGTCCAGTCGTTTTCCATTTTCAGAAATGTACTATACAAATATAAAATTAATACAAATATAAATTTACTATACAATTCAATATACAAATTTACTTACTGAAGCACGTTTAAATAATGCACAATGATTGAAGCACACTGTCACTTTTCTAAACGATTAAAGCACACTGCCACTTTTCTAAACGATTTGTCACAAGCTGATTCTTTATACGATGCGTTCGATTTAACGTTTTGACAAACTGTGTTCGATGTTTCCGGGGCCCGTTTCTTCCTCAGCTCGGACACCCACCGATACGCGATTTTGGGGGTGTCAACCTATTTTGGTATTAACTTTTAGCTCGACCGATTGGTCATCGACTAAGGGAAGGAGGACCCATTTTCACACCCCGTTTGGGAGGAAAACTCTTTCCTCATACCTGAACGTGGTGGAGGAAGACTTCCAGGTCACTCCCAGAACGAGGGTGCCCGAGGTTTTCTCCCCAAGTCGAAGGCTACGTTAATTTATCGAAGAAAAAACGGTACTCCGGATTAGGACGCGACGAGTGGCCGCGCGCGTTTAACAGCTGTTTTATGGCTATATTGTTCCGCGAGTTGGCAATGGTCGTTGCCGAGCGGCCGACGCACAGTGTGACGAGCAATGAACAAAAATGAAAAAACTGAAGTCTAAAATTCATAGCTTATTATATCTTAAAATACTAATAAAGGAACGTAGATTTTAATACTACCGACAATTTGGAATGAATTTCCCAATTTGTTGTCAATAATAATGCTTGAAATTTATTCCAGTTTTTGGTGCATTTTTTTAAACACGTACCACTTGCCAAATGTTTATCTAATTAATTTGAATTTTGTAAATTACGGTCAGTATTATAAGTCCTTTCAAACTGCAGAATGACTTTTTTACAATATTAACAATTTGTCCCAATTTTTTTATGTTAAATGTTTATCAACATTGACTGGATTTTTAAGAAAAGTACCTCAAAGTACCTCTGTGATTTTTTGCACACTAAGTAATTGATGGCATATTACACGTCATATGCAAATCAATTTTAACTGCTCGAAGTTGCTCAAACCGAAGAAAATAATCAAAATCAGCGATATTAAACAATATACAGGGTGGGGCACGAACTAGTCCCCACGATTTTTCAGCCCCTTTCGATGATGTGACAAAAAAATGTTTCGTATCGAAGTTAATCAGTGTCTAACCAACAAGAAATTGCAGTTGCTTAAATTTAAAAACATATTGATTTTCGATAAAAAATTAAGGTTACTGTTATATTTTTAACCCCGCTTTTGTATGTTGCCAGATGCGGAGTCGTTACTTTGTCGAAAAAGTCTTCGAATATTCTGCATCTGGCAAATATTGTCGTAAAACCATCGAGTGCTTTAACGAAATGGAAGTGCTAGGCCCGAGTTGACCAACGAAAAGCTATATTGTTCCGTAGGTGGCACGGTCCTCTACAACGACCATCGCCAACTCGTGGAACAATATAGCCATAAAACAGCTGTCAAACACGCGCGGCCACTCGTCGCGTCCTAATCCGGAGTCCCGTTTTTTCTTCGATAAATTAACGTAACCTTCGACTTGGGGAGAAAACCTCGGGCACCCTCGTTCTGGGGGTGACCTGGAAGTCTTCCTCCACCACGTTCAGGTATGAGGAAAGAGTTTTCATCCCAAACGGGGTGTGAAAATGGGTCCTCCTGCCCTTAGTCGATGACCAATCGGTCGAGCTAAAAGTTAATACCAAATTCGGTTGACACCCCCAAAATCGCGTATCGGAGGAAGAAACGGGCTCCGGAAACATCGACCAATCCGTAAAACCGTTGAATTAAATCGTAGAAAAGCTAATTCGTACAACCGTTAAAGCAAACGTATCGTAGAAAAGACCGTATCGTAGAATTTTTTAATAACTTTTTAACGAAGCCTCAGTCAAGAAATTGATATTCTTGATTTTTGTTTTCCGACGAGTACCACTATTGTCGAAACCACATAGAATAATTGCTATACAAACTGTATGTATTTATAATTTATAAATCGCTCCACCTTTGCCACGATGTCATAGGTGGGCAATAAAAACAATTAATCTTTTCATTGCCGTTAAGAAACTTGTTACTGTTATTGTTACTTATTACTTGTTAAGATCACCTTAATTTTTTTTGTAAAATTGTATTTTTTTGGTCATAAATCGATGCATCTTTGTATCCTCTTAAAAAAAGTATAGAGGCCTTAAGTCGAAAATTGAATAGTTTAGGAGTTATTAATTTTGTCCCGAACTCCCATATACTTGTCACACTGTGCGACGTTTGGCCTTGAAGACCGTACCACCCGCGGAACAATATAGCCCTTCGCTGGTCAACTCGGGCCTAGCGCTTTCGTTTCGACAAAGCACTAAATTATTTTACAACAAAATTTGCCAGATGCGGAATATTCGAGGACTTTCGCGACGAAGTAACGGTTCCACATCTGGCAACATAAAAAAGCGTAAAAACCTGAGCTAATCAAACGGAACACTGACTTCGTCGACTAGTGCAGGGGATGAACAGTTAGTGGGGGTTGCGGAAAATTCCGTCGTTGAATGGAACGAAAGGCTATCGACTATGCAAAAATATGGGCACGAGGAAAAAATCTTTCGCCTATGACCATATTTGGTTACAAGACGGGGCTTTATGGCCCTGCCTGGGCCTTTCAGAACTGGAGGTAGCAATCGTCGCGCTGTGAAATTTTCCGTTCGATCGCGAAAGAATACCAATTTGTTGATGGAGGCTTTGTTAAAAAGTTATTAATGTTTAAAGTTCCTGTATCTTTGTATCTCGATGATGGTTTTGGAACGAAATTGACATGAAACTTTCGTGCTCTCGTGTCTTGGCACGATCTCTTTTGATGGTTACCGACATCGTGCCGATCGACTCGTCGGCATGCCGTTCGGCTTTTCAAGCCATGCTATCCAAGACGATGCAGTGTTTGGCTTTGCCGAGAAGTACTTAGGGTGCCGATCGGCCGTGCTAGATGACAGATGCGGACGCAGTGTAGACGCAATTCTCGGCTTTTGCCGATCGGCCGTGCCGAACGGCAAATGCCGACCCAGTGGGGACGCGGCTTTAGAACTCATGGGTGTTTATTACAGAAAGATAAGAGTTCGTCGCTAGGGCGAACTGCGCTTCACTCTCGCCTTTCTTCTGCGGGTGAAGTCACAGTCTTCCAACAGATCTCTTAGAGAACAGAACTGAACTCTTAGATATACCTTCTACATATCATTTAATAAAAAGTACATTCGATTAATAATTATTGTCGTTTTATTCGAATCACACGTCCCATAGCCCTACCTTTTCCAATACTAACAAATAATATGTGATTACTGATTATAATATCGTATCTTAAACCTAATCGCTATGAGATCGCTACATTAAATATTCTAAATTTTATAATTGAGGAGACACCCATGGTCTCATGTTCGTTGCCGCCCATGTTCCTTTATAAGGAAGTCGTGTATTTTGGAATCCGTCGATATCCGTTATCACGTATCGATCATTCCTCAATACCCTTTCAACTTCGTATGGTCCTTTAAACAACGGTGCTAGTTTCGATGAATCGCCTATTGTGTGAAAATTTTTAATCATTACTCTATCTCCAACTTGATATATCCGTGCCGGTTTTCGTTTCTCGTCGTGGTATTTCTTATTCGCCTCAAAACTTTGCTTAATTTTTCCCTTCGCCCTATTTCTTACCTCTGCTAAATTTCTACTGTCCGTAATACTACTTATTTCTTCTAATGTATCTCGGATGCTATCGACTATTTTTCCACGCTGGCTTACACCGTATAACAATATGCTCGGGGTTTCTCCCGTCGATTTATTTATCGTGTTGTTGCACGCGTATTCTACGTCGTCGAGTGTTTCGTACCACCGTACATTCCTCTCGTCTGCTAATTTTGATATCATCGGTACAATGGTTCGATTAAATCTTTCCACCTGACCATTCGCTTGCGGTGAGGCAGTGGCAATTCTAATGTGCGTTATCCCGTTTTCATCTACAAAATTTTGGAAATCCTGAGAAGTAAAACAACTACCTCGATCCGATACGATTCTTAATGGTCTACTAAAAGTCGTAAAATAATTTCGCAAACATTTTATGACTTCCGCCGTATTTGTAGTTTTTGTTGCGTATAAATTTACAAATTTCGTAAATCCATCTACTATTACAAAAATATAGCGTTTGCTAACTGAATGTTGTTTTGTCATCGGCCCTAGATGATCTATATGTATGGTATAAAATGGTTTGGTATCCTTTGGAATTTCATGCAAACATCCTTCTTGTTTACCAGAATTCGGACTAAATGCAATACATTTAAGGCAATTTTTTATGTGACTCTTGACTTTCTCTCTAATTTTCGGGAACCAATAGGTATTTTGCACGTTTTCCACTGTCTTCTCAAAACCTACATGTCCCATATCATTATGATATTTCTGCAACACACTAGGTTCTAAAGCAGAAGGCACATAAAACAAAGCGCGATCTCTCACTTTGCGGTAAACTAAACCGTTTGTCATTTCGAAAAATTTATCCTCTGAATTTTCCAATTTTTTTACGAATATTTACTATTTCAGGATCGTTATCCTGGCATAATGCGAGGTTTCGATCGAAAGAATTATCGTGTAGGATAAGAATTTGTCGACTAAGTGCATCTACATGACGCATCCTAGAACTTGACCTATGTTCTAAAACATA